GAGGGAGGGAGGGAGAGGGAGAGAGGGGGAGAGGGGGCAAACACACTGGCTCCTCCTTCTGATAAGGGCACTAATTCTGCATCCTAATGAGCTCAATTTAACCTTCCTTGGAAGCCTCTATTTCCCAGCCACACTGAGGATTAGAGCTTCAACCTTTGAAATTTGGAGGGACACAAACATGCAATGCATAACACTGCAAAGTATTACTCAGACTTTAGTAGCTTGCAGCCACAGACACTTTTCTCAGGATTCTATGTGGATCAGGCTCTTCTCTTGCCTTTTTGCACGTGGTGTCCGACCGTTTTGGGGCTCCAGCAGCAGTGGTGGGTGCCCCGTCACAGATGTTCACAGCCCCTGCTGTGTCCTGTCTGCAGCTGTCCATTAGCCAAGGCGAGTCACGGCCAGGCACAGACTGAGGAACTGGACAGACTCCATCTCTTCTTAGAAAGAGGGATCAGACTGCACTGCAAAGGGTGTACATAGAGGGACGGGGGACTTTGTGGCCATTTTACAATTTTCTGTATTTAATTTGTGTGAATTCAGAAGACTGAATTCAAGGCCAGCCTGGGTTGCATAGTGGGTTTAAGTCCAGCCTGAGCTATATAGCGAGACCGAGAGGGGGCAAGGGGGAGAGGGAACCTTGAGAACATCATCTTGGCTGTAATTCAGAGCTACACTGTTACTTTTGGTTTTAATAGCAGTCTCCCTTTTGGTAATTGATACTTAGCCTAAAAGCTTTATTTAAAATTCACTCTGCCTGTGGGCATTGTGAGGGTAAAGGTGTCTGCCTCTTCATTATCAAGTGTTCCCCAGGTCTAGGCCACCTGACCCTGAACGTGCCTGATCTCCTCTGATCTCAGAAGCTGAGCAGGGTTGGGCCTGGTTGGCACTTGGGTGGGAAGCACGGTCCCCCAAAGCCTCATGTGCTGATAGGCGGGGCTGTGGGTGGTGCCCGGATCGGGCCTGCTCTTCAGCTGTGCCTGGTTGGAGGTGGTCCTTCGGGTGTGGCCCAGAAAGGTTCATCTCCTTCCCTGCCTGCTCCCTTCTCTGCCTCCCTGCCTCCCTGAGTGGAGCAGCTCTGCCCCATGCCCGCCCTTCCAGCGTCCCTTCCTGCCTTGGGGCCGACCAACCAGGACTGTAATCCTGAGCCCAAGTAAACCTGTCCTTGGCTAAGTTGCAGGTGTCAGCTGCTGTGGCCCGAGGTGAGAAAGTGACTAGGACAGCATCCTGTGAGACTGAGTAAGGAAGTTGTCTTCTTCTCTTAGCTTGTAACTTCCTAACCTCCTTCCTGGCTGTCACTGCCTCTCGCTCTCCCTTATTTTTGGTGTCCCTGGGGATTGAACCTAGGAGTGCTCTACCACTGAGCTATATCCCCAGCCCTTTATTTTTTGTTTGGAGACAAGGTCCAAGTTGCCCAGGCTGGACTCGAACTTGGGTCCTCAGCCTCCAGAATAGTTGGGATTGCAAGTATGCACCACCACACCCAGCCATGCCTCCCGCTTGCCGGGTGTGTAAGTGCTTATTCGCTGCACGAGTAGCACCTTCCCCACTTGTCTGGCTGGCAGCTCACAGCACCTTCGTGCTTAGTTTAAGCTTCTTCTGGGTGCATCATCTGACTTTCTTTAACAAAATACCTGGAGCTAGGTAACGGTATAAAGGAAGAGGTTTGATTGGCCAGTGTTGGGAGGCTGAGAGGCCCAGACTGGTTGGCCCTGTGTGTCAGCTCTGCTGAGAGTACTGTGGTGAGCAGTGAGGTGGAAGCCACCTCCGGGAATGAGCGGTCATGTCTGCATGAGACAGGAAGCCAGAGATTTGGGGTCATGCCCTCGAGAAACCTAGCTCACGGTCCCAGGAGAGCCGTCTCAGTCCTTCTAAGGGCAGTGCCCTAAAGACTCCGCACTGGAGCGCACTGCTCTTTATTTAGGTACTTGGGCCTGATTCCGGGGTCTTGGAACTGAGCCCCATGCCCAGCCCTTTCTTTTTAAAGACAGGGTCTCACTAACTTGCTAGGCTGCTGAGGCTGGGTTTGAACTTGTGATCCTCCTGTCTCAGCCTCCCATGGTGCTGGGATTACAGGTCTGCACTGACATGCCTGCCTGGTTTAGCCATACCTCTTAGGTCTTGCCATCTCACCAGCACCCTGGGGACTGAGCCTCCAACACAGGGCTGGGGGTGGGGGCCAAGCGGGATAATTTGGGGACTAAAGAAGTATCCTGAGAAACTGACTTTAAAGTCAGCGCCTCCCAGTTCAATAGGAAAATAGACGGATGCTGCGGGGTATTAGAGCACTAAGCTGTGTAGAGGAAATGTGAAGTCAGTGGGTGTCACAGGCCACCTCAGTGTAGATTTCATACCTCTGCCGTCTGCATCCTAAAGTAATGCCACCTCGGGAGCCTCGAGCCAGCATTCTGGTTCTAGAACCACTCCAGATGTGCTACTGAATATAAGCGAATTTAGCCCGGGGCAGTAGTCCATGCCTGTAATCCCAGCTACTCAGTAGGCTGAGGCAGGAGGCCAAATCTGAGGCCAGCCCTGGCAACTTAGTGAGAGCCTATGTCAAAACACAAAGTGCCTGGGAATGTAGCTCAATAGTAGAAAACTGCCCAGTATGAGTGTGTTCCCGGGTTCGATTTCCAGTACCACAAAAACATCAGGTAATTTAAATCTTCACTAGTCTAACTTAAGTAGAATTTGGAATTCTGTTTGTCAGTCACAGCAGAGGCATTTGAAGCTTAACTACACGTGGCTAATGGCTGTGGCCTTGGGTAGCACAGAACACGGGGCCCACTGAAGAAAATTCTTTTCTAGAGGACAGAGGCGAGAGACTTTCCTTACCACAGGAAAGCCAGATGTAGAGGCAGCTGTGTGTTCCAGCTAGGTGCTCGTCTGGTCCTTTCTTCTTCTCTGCCCTCCGCTCCTCTGACACTCAGCTTTTCATGTGATGTGCTGACTGCAAGGGCACTCGTAGTCGGCAGCAGGCCTGGAGCCCAACTCTCCCCACCAGAGACAGACTCTGATCCTTCCTGTTTCCCACTCTGTCCCCTTTCTGGAGGTGAGGGTGACACAACTCCAGCCCCGTACCGGGCGAGTGCACTGCAGAGGAGGTGACTGCGTGTAACGTGTAGCTGTGGGAGAGGTGACCTTCTGAGTAATCACTTCTGTCTGTCTTTCACTGGGCCTTAGGTGACCTGAGTGCCTCTCATGCTTCACGTCCGAGTAAATTGAGGCCAGAGCAAGTGGTGCCCAAGACCGTATCGATGGTTAATGGTAGATTTGGGACTGAAACCTGTGTTCTGTGAACCCCAGGCCAAGGGGCACTCAACTAATGTATCCCTTCCCCATTCTAATTAATTAACCATCTTCAGTACTGGGGATTGAACCTAAGTCCTCACGCAAATGCTCTACAACTGAGCTCCGTCTTGCTCTTTTAGGGTTTTTTTTTTTCTGTTTTAGTTTTTTAAGATAAAATCTCCCTAAGCTGCCCAGGCTGGCCTTGAACTTGTGTTCCTCCTGCCATAGACTTTCCAGTAGCAGGAAGTCAGGTGTGTACCACCACACATGTCCATTCTTTTTTTTCTGTCTGGCAGTGGGAATTGAGCCTGGCCCCTTTGCACTGAGCTACATTGCCAGACTTTTCTTTTTTTAGTCAGAGTCCTGCGAAGTTGCTTGGGATGGTCTTGAATTTGCTGTTTTCCTGCTTCAGCGTGTGCAATTACAGCCAGCTCAGAAGGATCACAAGTTCGAGGCCAGCCATCGGGACTTGGTGAATTCAAGCCTGTCCTGGACTACACAATGAGACCCTGTCTCAAAAAAAAAAGCAGGGTGTGGTAGCGCATATCTGTAGTCCCAGCATTTGGGAGGCTGAGACAGAAGGATTAACATGAGTGCAAGGCCAGCCTGGGTGGCATAGTGGGTTCAATGCCAGTGTGGACTACATAGTGAGACCCTGTCTCAAAACAAAAGTTAGAGGGCGGGGATTTAGCTCAGTGGTTTCGCCTTCTGCTGCGCAAGCACAAGGACCCAAGTTCAATCCCCGGTACCAAAAAAAAAAAAGTTAGATAAAACAATATTTAACTACGATAATAAATATCCTTCCTCTCTCTCCCTCTTCCTCTCTCTCCCTCTCCCTCTCTGTCTTTTTCTTTCTTTCATGGTGATGCTAGGCATCAAACCCAAAACCTTGTGCATCCTAAGCAAGTGCTCTACCAGCAAGTTACTCCCCAGCTCCTTATTTAAAGAAATGTTTTCATATGTTTTAAATAATTTAGTTGTTGCAATATTTACAGATTGAAGAAGAAGAGAGGAAACAAATAGAAGATATGAAGGAAAATGAGCGGAGAAAAGCAACTAAAGAATTGGAAGCTTGGAAGGAACATCAGAGAAAAGCTGGAGGACAAGAGGGAGCGCAGGGAGAAGAGAAAGCGTGCTGCCGAGAAAAGCCAGCTGGAGAAAGAAGAAAATCAGAGCAGAAGAGTCTTAGGGGAAGCTGGACGTGGAGGCCCCGGGCCGCAGCAGGTACAGTGGTGAAGTGCACGCTCTCTGGGGAAGGGAGTCCTGCTGGTGAGGACGAGTGGCCCTCGTTCCCTGTCTCGCTCGCGAGTCTGCGCACGTTTGGTGTGTTGGCTCCTGAGCTGGAAAACCCAGTGCAGAGACCACGATGCAACTTCCGTCTGGCTTCTTTTAGGGAGTAGTGAGCTTCCCATCGAAGTGAACAGGATCCAGTTTCACTTTGGCAGTGCATGTGTGTGTGTGTGCCGTGCATGCCTTTGTGTACCTGTGTGTGTCTTAATGTCTGAATGTGCTTAACTCAGGTCCAAACAGACTTGGAGTGGACTAGCAGAGTTAGGAGTATTTGTTTATTTTTTTCAAGATTAGAAAGTAGGAATTTTTTTTTTTTTTGGTACCAGAGATCGAACTTGGGTCCTTGCACTTGCGCAGCAGGCAGCGAAACCACTGAGCTAAATCCCCAGCCCAAAACTAGGAATTTTATTAGAAGTCCTTTTTTGACAGGACTTAGGAAAAACTGCTGTAAGCAAATGTGGTCTTCGGCAAATAAGGGCTGCTTCTGGCCTTTGACCCTGATGTTAAAAAAAAGTTAAGAGAGCCAGGCGTGGTGGCACATGCCCTGTAATCCCCGCACTCAGGAGGGTGAGCCAGTAAGATCACTGTGAGTTCGAGGCCAGCCTAGGCTACATAGTGAGGTCCAGGATAGTCTGAACTGTAGAGTGAGACCCTGTCTCAAAAAAAGAAAAGAAAAGAAAAAAGCCAAAAAGAAAACAAAAAAGAAAGCATCTGGCCTTCATCTGATTGTAGGATGTGAAGGTCGTTTGGCATAGACAGCAGTTTCCCCAGCCCCAGGGTCCCAGTGCACTTCTGACACTAAGGCTGTTCAGAGGCAGTGCATGCTCAACTTGTCCTGAAGACACAGGCTGGATGAGCCTTACCCTCACTGGAGGAAGCCCTGGAGGCTTCTCCTTGGAGACTGGCAGCCAGCGCGGCTCCCTGTGTGTCTGCTCGGGCTCAAGCTCGGGCTCAGGTCCCTGCATGCAGCCTGGAGAGGCCTCTGCAGGGTGCTACCCAGGCCGGCATGGAGGGCCCAACTCATTCACCCTGTGGGCAGCAGGACACACTCCTGCACACAGAACTTCTGCTCGAAAGTTTATCCTTCATCATTAATGTGGGCAGAGAGCTAAGGACCAAACAGAAAAGAATAACTCAGACCAACTAAGTGGGGAGAACCAAGATGGTGGTGTAGAGATCAGCAGCCTCTCCAGGGCCCAGAATCCAGACATCTGGAAAATAACACCTTGGTGAAGAGAAATAGGAAGTAGACTCTGGGAATTGGGAGAGAGCTGACAGGAAAATTAGAAACTACAGAGAAGGTGGAGCAATGGACCACAACAGAGAGAAAAGAATTAGGCAGTCTGGAAGCCCACCTGGCCCCCAGATGGGAGAAGCTGTGCCCACCGACACCAGGTAAGTCTGCGGGTTGGAAGCACCAGGAAGAAGGGACAGACTGAGCAAGAGCGCTGTTGTAAAGTGCAAAAGCAGTGTGCGATCTTGCTCAGAAAGTGACTGCTTCCGCACTGCAGGCTAAAGTTGGAGAAGGAATCCAGTGCAGCGCCTGCCATGCTGGACAGGGTTTAATCAGGTGTCATTTCAGGAAGGGATTGAGTATTTAAGACTGAGCCACAGAACAACTAGGAAACAACTTCACTTCATAGTTCCTAGATTTACCCTCTGTCCTAGTTACTTTTTTATCACTGGGACACAATACCCAACACCCCCAACTTGAAGGAGAGGTTTCTCTGGCTCACAATTTATAGTCCAGAGCTGCCTGGCTCCAAGGCAAGGTGGCACGGCAGAGGGGCATGGCTGAGGAGAAGGGGTTTATGACATGGCAGCAGGGAAGCTGAGAGAGAAAGATTCAGGGAGGAGAAGGGGAGATAGACCTTTCCCAGCCACGCCCCCAGTAACCTACCTCCTCCTCCCGACATCACTTTGGCTCTAAACTCAGCAGTGGACGAATCTGCTGGTGAGTATCATGGCCCCATGGTCCAGTGTCCTTTCCAGACCCTTACCTCTGAGCACATGAGGCTTTGGAGGGGGTCGTCTAGATATTAAGCATAGCATAACATCTGCCCACAGTGACTGAGTGAGAGATAGCCACAGGAGACAGTCATGAGAAGGTATGCGCTAGACACAGACTCTGAGAAGACTGAGCTCAGGCTGCAATTGGGGCCTGGCCCTTAGTGGTAAGAAGCTGGGGCCTAGGTGTGTAGCTCTCAGAGGTGACTGAAAGAAAGGCTGGCAGTAAGTGCAGTGGTCTGCCGGAGCCCACCCTGCTGCCCCCGTCCAGCACAGAGCAGAGGTCTGATTTCCTTCCCTGTTCTATCGGTGGTGGAGATACAGTTGTTACATTTAGTAGATATTTACTTTATGTCAATATTTGGTTTGTCTTAGTGTTTATACTATAATTATAGATCTCTTTTTGTGGCTAAGGGTGGTACAGTATTGCTTCTCAGGGTATGTCTGTATCTAGTTTGTCTTTTTTTTTTTTTTTTTTAATGTACCCCAAAATTTTATTTTTAAATTTATATTTACCTTTGTTCCTTTTCTTCCAGTTTGTCTTTGATGATATTATTATTATTATATTTTTGGTACCAGAGATCAAACTCAGGACCTTGTGCTTGCAAGGCAGGTGGTGGCACCACTGAGCTAAATCCCCAGCCCTTTGATGATACTAGTATCACTGATTTAGTTGCTGTTGCCAGGATGGCATAGTTGTTGCTATTGATAAGTTTTCTCTGAATGCCATTATCCAGATTACCTTTGTGTCCTTAACACTACTAGCTTCCATTCCCAGAGGACTGGGTCCTAGGCCAATTAAATGGTAGCCTCCCCTAACAGAGGTGGTAGACCTTGGGACAGAGGCCAAGGCCTACGCAGATATTCCTCATTTAACAAGCTGTCTGTCTATAGTTAGCCATGTCCAGAATGTATTACTGGAAGGCAGACACTAACTAAAGAGATCTCCATACCAGTAATAAAGTCTTTCCACTGTAAGCACCTGCAAACCTCAGTACACACACACACACGCGCGCGCACACGCACACATGCACAATCACAAGGACAGAAACATGAGAAGAGAAAGCATCAGGATGCCTCTAGAAACTCCCATGACAAAGAGCACTTTAAGAAATTCAGTTGGTGGCACACACCTGTAATCCCAGCACTTGGGAGGCTGAGCCAGGGTGATCACTGAGAGTTCAGGGCCAGCCTGGGCTACATAGTGAGTTCAAGGCCAGCCTGGATTATACAGTGAGTTTGAGGCTAGCCTGAACTATATAACGAGACCCTGTCTCAAAAAAACAAAAAACAGGGCTGGGGATTTAGCTCAGTGGCACTGTGCCTGCCTCACAAGTGCAAGGTCCTGAGTTTGATCCCCGGTACCAAACAAACAAACAAACAAACACTCCAGCAGGAGTAACTATCTCATTTTCAGAGAAAATGAACTTGAAGCCATAACTGGAAGGTCACTACATATTGGTTAAGGGAACAGTTTAATAGGAAGAGATAGCAATTATAAACATGTATCCTACAGACACTGGCACACCCAACTTTATACAACAATTGCTACTGGACATAAAAGGTTTACTCAGCAAGTTTGCTGTCTCTTTTAAAATTGTAATTTCTGTTGCTCCATGTTTGCAGTACGTAATGATTACGTGCACCGTTGGGCGTTGGGGCGTGCACATAATGCATCTTAACTGTTCTGTCCTCCTCCTCCCCCTCATTTCTTTGTCCCCTTCCCATTTACAGATCTTCCTGTTTCCTACTGTCTATCTTATTCTGTTTTAAAATTATTTATACTTTAGGACAGGTGGGTGGTGATATAGGACGCCAAGTAATCCAGAAATGATCCAGAGCAAGTAATCCAAATGAGCAAAAATAATCCAAATGAAGGAAGTATAACTTCCAACCTACTAGATATCTGAAACTCAGGTCCATGTTCTCTAAAATCAAAGAATGCATTCTAGGAACAACAGAGGTTCAAAGTAGGAAGAATTTATTGAGAGTAAGATAGCTTCTAAGAGAGCCAGAAAGGGGACTGAGAAGTGGGCTGCCCCCCACCCTGCTTTTCAAAGGGGTATTATTGAGCAGAGGAGGTACAAGGTGGGACAAAACTACAGTCAACTAATAAGATTACAAGTAAAGGCCCTTAGGTAATATTGGCCCAGTGAGAAAGCTAGCAGTCAGATTATAACAAGCACAGTCACTTAGATAGTACTGATTAAATGGCAATCAGAGCAAGCCTGCCTGGAGGGAACAGGGGCTTCCCGGGAGGGATGGGCTAGGGGGGTTTTGGCCCCCTGCCAAGGTGAGATGCCTATGTAGAGTATCAGTCCCTGCTGTTTATCCCTAGGGGAGGTCTGTGGGTGTCGTGGTTCTTCCCTTTGGAACCCTGACCTTTTAGTAAATGTGTCTCAGTTGTTTTCTGGGCTGAGGGCCCAGCCCTGCCTAACTGCCTTATAATATATTTTAACTGACTTAGGTGTCTATAGTACTGGGAGAAGCCTTACAGAGAAAAGGGGAGTATTGTGGTGAAAGGAAAATGTTACTGGACTGTTGACTGCAAGTAAATTTAGATAAAATTAGAACAGAGGGCCAGGAATGTAGCTCAGCAGCACAGCGCCTGCCTGGCAAGTGTGAGGTCCTGAGTTCTATCCCCAGTATGAAAAAAAAAAAAAAGAATAGAGCTCTTTCTCCTTATGGGCATTTGTGTTCTATGTTAGGTGTCACATTGCTACCAGTGGGTACAAACGCTTAGCTCTTTCACAATTTTTAAAATTTTTATGTGACATATGAAGTATCTGAAGTAGCCCACTTCACCTAAGAGGCCTTGCCTACCTTCTTAGACTTCAGAGAACATCCACTTGCTGTCAGAGTAATTCAGTATTTTGAACATGCTTCTCTTAGCTTTTGTTTATTACTACAGTAATAAACTGTAAGCATTTTAGGAATAAATGCTTATTCCTGTAAGCATTTCCACCAGAACTTGAGACAAATTGTGAGGAAGCTGTTTCTTTTAAAACACAAACCACTACCAAAAATTTAAATGTATTACTGGCTGGTTTTTATTTTTAAAAAAATATAAACACCCCCCAAAAATTAACATTGTACAAAGATAGAAAACAAGATACATTTTCTGTAACTTTGTTTAAGCATTTATGTTACTAAGTTGATAAATCCAATTTAAATTGAACTCACTACAGAATTTCTTATTAAAATAATTTTATGGTTTATTTTAAGTATACGCATGCTCACCAGTGGCTTCTCAAAAGCACACTGAAGGGGCCAGGGATTTAGCTCAGTGGTTCCGTTGCCTGCCTTGCAAGTGGAAGGACCGAAGTTCAATCCCTGGTACCAAAAAAAAAAAATAAATAAAAGTACACTGAAAATAAGGGGAAAGAAAATGCATCTTCAAGCATGACTGATGGAACTGCTCATCACATGTTGTGTTAGATTTGTGTATCGTAAGGCATTTGTTTTGTGTTTTCATATTGTATATGGACTTTTTTTTAATGTGACAGTTAAATACATCTTTGAAAGTGTTATAAAGAACCCACTTGTCAAAAAAACAGGCTCTTTGTCGTGAGACAAAGGAAAGTTTCCAGTGAACAGGGACTAGAATCAGGAGATTCTAGCAGCTAGCTGGGAAAAGCCAAGTTGATCACATCCTTGTGTGGATGGGCTGACATTGGGAGAGAGGGAGTGGCAGCTGGCTGGGAGAGATTTCATCCGTGAGTGGATGGGCTGCCAGGAGGGGAGAGAGATCAGCGACCGCCTGGGAAAGGAATTAGGCTCTTATAGATACTGAAGGGGCTAATGACATATTTATGACTTAGCTGCCCAAGGACAGTCTGCTCAGGTGTGTAGACAGTTACTGGACTGTTCAGCCCTAGGGGGTTGTAATCCATATTTTTGAGTCCCTTTGCCTTACTTTACTAGGAAGCTGCTGGTATTTGCTAAAAGCAGCCTGTTCATTTTTTCCTGTTGATTTAGGGCAGGCCTGACAAAAAGCATAGTCACAGACAAAAGAAAAGTGATGAAATATTTCCTTCAAAATTTCTACAATGGCCGGGTGTGGTGGCATACCCCTGAAATCCCAGCTCTTGGGAGGCTGAGGCAGGAGGATCACTGAGTTTGAGGACAGTCTGGGCTTCATAGTGAGTTCAAGACTGGCCTGAACTACATGGTGAGACCCTGCCTACAAAATCCTCTTTGTAAGGGCCACTGGCAGCCATGTCACAGCCCGAGCGTCTGAGGACACAAAGTGCTGGTGCATGACAGACTTCATTATAATAATAATAAGTCAGCACAGATGAGCACGCAGGCAGCACAGGGCTATGCAAGGTCAAGCGGCTGTTCTGTCTGAGTGTGTCTTAGAAGAGCTGATAGAAAAGGACACACACAGCTCCTGAGCTCAGCAGCTGCAGCTCCAGCTCTGGCGCTCCGATGCTGCCCTTCTGCTGTAAAGTTAAAGTGTGGGTCCTGCTTTCTTTGGGGACCTCACCTGACCGGACCCCCTGTCAGCCCACTGGCCCGACACTCTTCTGCATATTCTTTTCTTTCTTTCTTTTTGGTATCGGGGATCGATCTCAGGTCCTTGAGCTTGTGCAGCAAGTGGCAAAACCACTGAGCTAAATCCCTGGCCCCTGCATATTCTTTTCTTGACCAAATGAAACATTAACCTAAGGTCAAGATGAGAAAGGAAACAGATGAATGTCTTTACCAAAGGAACCAATATGTTTTGTCGAACTCAAGAAAGAAAAGATTGGCTGCCACACCATCAGTGGTGAATTTTATATTGCTTATCGCAGAAGAGATCTTTGGTTTGCTTAGGGTTTTAGAATTAGCATGGATATATAATAATTTAAAGTCAATTTGCTAACCAGAGAACAATAAATAAATCACTTATTGCTGCTGTACTTTTGAAGGCAGAAACTCAGAAAACATATTTTCTGAGAAGCTGGAGGAAGCCCACGTCCCCGCACCGCGCGAGGCCGGCAGCATCGAGGTCAGCTTCACGCCACGTGCCTTCCCCACCGCCCTTCGAGAGTCTCAGGCTGCCTGGGAGGAGGAGGTGAGATGCTGCCAGGGGTGTGGCTTTCATGTAAGCAGTTATTACACTAGGGACACTGCATTGTGAGTACATTTCAGTATTTGCTCATGAGAAGATGTATCTTGTCAGTCTTGGGGCTCAGAATACTAGTTTTTGTTTTGTTTTGTTTTATCTTTTTGAGAAAAGGTCTCACTATGAAGTTCAGGCTGGCCTCCAACACACAGCAATCTTCCTGCCTCAGCCTTCAGAGTGCTGGGAGTATAGGTATGTGTAGTCATCCCCAGCTGGCTCAGAAGACTACTGAGAGAACACTGGTTTAATATACAGTATTGCTGCTTATTCAAAGAGATAAACTGTTGCACTTGGCATTTATTTTATCAGATGACATCATTTTTTATGATACATTTATAAACTTCAGATGGGAGCTGGGGATGGTGGCTCATGTCTGTAATCCCAGCACTTGGGAGGCTGAGGCAGGAGGATCACCGAGTTCGAGGGCAGTCTGGGCTGCATAGTTGTGAGGGCCCAGCTTCCCCAGAAGGTGCCTGGAGAGGGGTCCGTTTAGCCCACAGTCCTTTGTGAGTGAGTTAATTAATTCCCCAATAAGAGCAGCATACTCGCAGCCAGTCATCAGCATCAGGGCAGCATCAGAGCTCGAGAGCTGGAGCTCAACTGCAGAGCAGTGAGCCTGCTCTCCAGTTCCCTGCAGTCAGGACTGGAGACTGAACATTGGCTCCGCCCCTGTCCCGGCCGCACATGCGTGGCTGAATCTGCTGGGTCATTCTTGGTGACTGTGAGAGCAGAGCTGTGACCTTGCGTATCCTCAGATGCTCGGCTTTGAGTGCGGCAGGAGCGGCACCCCGCAGGCATGCATGCAAGGCCAGCCTGCACTGCAGAACGAGACCTTGACTCAGAAACCACAGGGCACCAGCCCAGGGTTTTATTAGAACAACACTCAAGAGCACAGACCTTGCCCTCTAAGACTCCAACCTCATTTCAGTGGCTGCACAAGCAGGCCCAGGCACAAAAAGTCCTGAATGCCGACGACGTTCCTGAGTTTCGTGATTTAAAAGAAGAGGAGAAGAGCCCCGAGTGGTTGAAGGAAAAAGGGAAGTAAGTGATTTGAACCCACCAGGCAGCGTGTGGCCGGTGCAGATTGGAATGGGTCCCAGCGAGGTTTGCAGCGCTGTGCATGCCTGAGTGGGTGGTGGGTGGCAGGCTGTGCGAGCCAGTGGCCAGGCAGTGTGGCTTTGTACCGGAAAGCCCGGCAATGCAGCAGCGACACCCACGTGGAGCCTAAGTGTCATAAACAGGAGAAATAGCACATTGTTTGGCCTGCTCACTGACATCTTTTAAAATCACTTTTGTGGGCCAGGCGGACTGGCCAGCCTGAACTGCATAGTGAGACTGTCTCAAAAACAAAACAAAAAAATCACTTTTGTTATTAACATAAATCTTTCCTAATAGCTCTCTTAGAAACAGGTGTTTCTAGTACTACAGCTTTTATTATTCAATCCATTTTTGTCAAAGGTTTTTTTTTTTTTTTTTTTTTTTTGGTACTGGGGATCGAACTCGGGTCCTTGCGCTTGCAAGGCAGGTGGCGGAACCACTGAGCTAAATCCCCAGCAATTCAATCCATTTTTAAAAGATTGCCAAATTATCTCATAAACTACTTTTTCAAATAAATCTGCTCTTTTTTTTTCTTTTTTATTCTGGTACCAGGGATCGAACTCAGGACCTTGTGCTTGCCAGGTAGGCATAGCACCACTGAGCTACTTTCTGGTCTCATAAACTCTTTTTAATATTCAAGCTGTCATTTATTTATTTATCATTCTGTGTGATTTTTTTCTTTGTTTGTTTGAGACAGGGTTTCAGTATGTAGCCCAGGCTGGCCTTAAACTCACGGCGATCTTCCTGCCTCAGCCTCTTGAGTGCAGGGATCACAGGTACCACCAAGGCCAGCTTCTGTGTGAATTTTTTTTTTTTTTCCATTACCAGTAATGGAACTCAGGACCTTGTGCTTGCCAAGCAAGTGCAGTGCCACTGAGCTACATCCCTGGCCCATGTGTGAATATTTTAATACAGTTATCAAAAACTGAATTCTGGTGCATTCTGAGTGGTAGTTTGGGTTCACAGTTTTGAGGCAGCAAGGGGTTTTATTGCTGTCTCATTAGATGCACTTTAAAATGTTTTCTTCCTGCCTCTGTAACAAACCACCTGGAGCTCAGTGGCATAAATCACCACACATACCACCGCAGCGCTCTGGAGGCCTCGAGCCAGCCAAGTCCGGGGTGAGCGGTCCTCCGCCTCCTGGAGGCTGGGTGCTGGCCCCTGGGCTTCGCCGCGCCCTTTGGGACAGCACCTTCTGCCCTCCCAAGGTGAGCTGCCGTGGTCACGGGAACCCCCTTCGGCTGCTGGCATGTTGTGCTGCTCACTTCCCCTCCCACCCCTCCTCTGTCCTACCCCAGTGTCCTCTTTCCATCCTTTCAAAGAACCAGCTCTTCCATCCATTGATCCTTTGTGTTTTTCATCTCGATTTCATTAACTTCTGCTCTCATCTTATACTTCCGTCTCGTCCATTAATTTTAGACTTGAATTGCTCTTGTTTTTTCTAGGGCCTTGAGATGCATCATTAATTTGTTCTGTTGTTATTGTTTTGTCTTGTTTTCAAGACAAGGACTCACTGTGTCCTCCAGGCTGGCCTTGAACTCATAGTGATCCTCCTGGCTCAGCCACCAGGTCAGCATTGCGTTGGCAGTTTTGTCCTTGTGTGAACATCTTAGAGTGAACTTGCAGACCAGCCAGTGTCACTCGGCCTTCGGTCACGCGGGTACCCACTGTGGCTCTGTCTGCCGGAGCACCCGAGTGCTGGTTCCCACTGGTCAGGGCACAGGTGTCCTCTCACCTTGCGCAGTGTGCTCTTCCGCCTTGCGTCCTGAGCGCTCTGGGTGCTGTCCTCGGGCTTGCAGGATCAGCTGATGCAGCCTGCTGCTAGAGGGACGCGCATAACCAGACGCCTGGTTAGGCTGGGTCGGCAGCTTCCCTGTGTCGTACAAGAGCGGGTCTCTGTGCGCCTCTTTGTTCCATGTGAATTCATTGATCCGCTCTGCTAACTGCTGCTTCCCTGGAGGGGGGGAATGAGCCTGGGCCTTCGCCTTCTCCTTCAAGGCCCGTCAGGGCCGGCGGCAGGGCAGAAGTTTCCTGGTTCCCATTTGAGGAAGCTCTGCTTGAGGACAGGCCGCCCCGGGAGGGTGCAGGGCCACGCTGCACGCAGGTGCTATCCCTCTGTCTGTGCCCCGGTTACTTTGACTCTTCTGTTTTTGTCTCCTTAGCAAATTGTTTGCAACAGAAAACTACCTGGCCGCGGTTAATGCGTACAGTTTAGCCATACGGCTAAATAACAAGCTGCCGCTGCTGTATCTGAATCGGGCTGCTTGCCACCTAAAACTGAGAAACTTGCACAAGGCCATTGAGGATTCTTCAAAGGTATGTTTGTACCTCTTTTTTGGGGGGCGGGTACCGGGGATCGAACTCCAGTCCTTGCGTTTGCGCAGCAGGCATCGAAACCACAGAGCTAAGTCCCCGGTCCCTTTGTACCTGTATATTTATTTATATATGATGCTTTAAAGATCTTATCCTCGCTGGGCTTCATGGCACACGCCTCTACTCCCAGCACTCAGGAGGCTGAGGTAGGAGGATCTCCCCCAATTTGAGACCAGCCTGGGCTACACAGTAAATGATGTTCTTAGGCGAGGCAGGATATAGCTTGGTGGTAGAGTGCTTAGCACTTAGCAGAGGGACTGGGTTCAGCCCTCTGCACCACACAAATAAATGAGTTTTTTTTCTCCTAAACAATGGAGCTGCAAGTATTTTAAAAATTAATTTGCTTTATTACATCTTTTTTTGTTTTTTGAGATAAGATCTCACTGTGTAGTTCAGGTTGGCCTTGAACTCACTGTGTAGCCCAGGCTGGCCTCAGACTTGAGGAGATCTCCTGCTTCAGCCTCCCCAGTGCTGGAATTACAGATTTGTTCCACCATGCCCAGCTCAAAAAGTAAGTTTATTTATGTGTTTGATGGTGCTGGGGCCTGAACCCTGGCCTCGTGATGCTAGGCAAGTGCCGCACCATCGGCTACCTCTCCACCCGTCACAGCTTATTGCTTTTTTTAGTGGACCAAGGACTGGTGTGCATTTGGGACTTCAGATCAGATTGGACACCACCATCTTTGCACTGCAGTACCTTGGTCCATCATTTGAAGTTCACAAGGAAATTAGTACATGGTCAGCTGTCCTCACCTTGTTACCGTGAAAGCTCTCCAGAGAAGGAGTGCATCCTGTTACCTCTGACACTCTCAGAGCCTGACTGGGGCCAGTGACTGTGTCTGGCCTGCCCCTGCAGTATTTCTTGGAGGGGCTGCAGGCTGAAGTCCTGGTACAGTGCTTGCCCGGGATGCTTGGGCCACTGGAAGAAGTAAGATCATTATTGTTAATGTTCTCATAGAAATGTCTTAGATTCCCGCAGCTTTTTGGCGGGGGAGGGTTGTTTTGTTTTGTTTTTGAGATGGGGTCTCGCTCCTGCCTCAGCCTCCTGAGCCCTGGGATTACAGGTGTGTGTCACCACACCTGGCGTGCAGAGATTTCAGATGATCAGCCCAACTGGACCCTGGGGCCAGTTATGAATCTAGTCTCATACAGGAACAACCAAGCAATTCCTTAAATTGTTCGACCTAAATATACATTTTTGACAAATATCTGTACCAACTAAACCAAAAATGTAGGTGGGGGAGGGCTTGGGACGTTTTTCTTTTTTTACTATGTTTTTTCTTACATTTAAATTTGAAAGCTATAGCTGGATGCAGTGGCATACATCTGTAATTCCTGAACTCTGGAAGGCTGAGGCAGGAGGATTGCAAGTTCAAGCCACGAAACTTGGTGACTTAGTGAGAAACTGTTTCAAAATAAAAAATAAGAGAAGGGCCAGGGATGTGGTTCAGTGCCAAGGCCCTGGTTCAGTCCCCAGCACTAAAGAATGAACAAATCACAAACCCACCCTAAGGTAGCTGTGCCTTCCCTCGAGGGTGATGAGTGTATTTGCATTTTGCAAGGCTTTGGCGTTGCTGACCCCGCCTGTCGCAGACAACGCCCATGCAAGGATGAAAGGGCATGTCCGACGTGGAGCAGCATTCTGCCAACTGGAACTGTTTGCGGAGGGTAAGCACCGGAGAGAAATGTTCCCACTTGCAAGTTGCACACTGGGAGTTTCAGATAGTGACTTTCAGGGCTTTGTGATTTTATAACTTTAGCATTTGTTTTATTCTTAAATTTATCAGAAATTAAAAATAGCTTTTGAAATGTTATTGATTGATTGATTGTGGACCTGGGGATTGAAGCTAAGACCTTTGCACAGAGCTACATCTCGGCCTTTTTAAATTTTGAGCTAGGGCCTCTTAAGTTGCCCAGGCTGGACTTGAAACCGTGATCCTCCTGCCTCAGCCTCCTAGGGTGCTGGGATTGCAGGTGTGCACCACCATGCCTGGTTAGGATTATATTTTTTAAATTTATTGTAGGACTAGGGATATAGCTCAGTGGTAAAGACATGCCTACCATGTTCAAGGTCATGCATTCAGTTGCCAGCACCCCCATACATGAGTGAATAAGTAAATAAATAAATAAAATTTAAAAATTCAGCTGGGTTGGAAACACATGCATCATCCTAGGACTTGGGAGGCTGAAGCAAGAGGATTGCCAGGAGTTCAAGGGCAGCCTGGGCTACATTTAAGTGAGGTCCTGTCTCAAAAAAAAGGAAAACGCGTCAGAAAAAGTTTGCTTGTAGAACCAAGATGTGAGCCATGAATTCAGGTCTAGGAAAACGCTGTGTTATCAAGACAGTGTTTCCGTAGAAAGCTGTGTTGGGTGTATAAAACAGTTCCAGTGAGATAACCAAATCCTGTAAGCACAGGTGCCGGTGCAAGCTCATGAACTACTCCACCTAAGGAGCAGACCCAGAGCACACATCTGACAGGGAGGGCCATAACTGGGCCCCAGGTGTTTAGGGGTCACAGGGTTTAACTGCAGTTACTCTGCTGCCCTGGGGAACCTGGGCTAACAGCCTGATGTACCTTCAGGTTGTCTTCCCAGCTTCCTTTTATCACGGCCTGCTGAAGGTGCTCCTGAGGGTTCCCCGGTAATCCCAGCACCTGGGAGCCTGAGGCAGGAGAATTGCCATGAGCTTGAGGCCAGCCTGGGCTACATAGTGAGTTCAAGACCAGCCTGAACTACATAGCAAGTCCCTATCTCAAAAAATGAAAAAATAAAATGAAACAAGGGATGGGGATTTAGCTCAGTGGTTTTGTCGCCTGCTGCGCAAGCACAAGGACCCGAGTTCGATCCCCAGTACCAAAATAACCACAAAAAAACAAAATGAAACAAAACCAAGAAGAAAAGGAAAGAAAGCAAGATAGTTTTGTTTGCTTTTTGTGGGGTTTTTTGTTGTTGTTGTTGTTGTTACTGGAGATTGAACTCAGGACCTTGTGCTTTCAAGGCAGGCTTTGGAACCACTGAGCTAAATCCCTAGCCCACTGTGCTTTTGAGCTATGGGAAGCCTTCATTTTAGAGATGAGAAAATAGAGGCTGCAGAAATGGATTTGCCTGAAAGGTCAGGCCAGCCAGGGTGGTTCGGGACCAGCACTCAGTCCCCTGCTGCAGAGCAGATTCTTTTCAGAGGCTACTTGGGTACAAATGGAGGTGCAGTTACTTGTCTTTAGCAAGGTCTACAATACTTTTCTTTTCACCAACCTTTCTCAAAAGAATTCTGTACTTAGCTACAGAAAAAACCTTACCAGTCCAAGAATAGAAGGTATGGAGTGAGTCTACAGAACTTTTAAAAGATCTCAACTTTCCTGGCTGAGGGGTAGCTGAGGGGCAGGACACATGCCTACCATGTGCTGGGCCAAGGTTCAATCCCTGGTGCCCTCTCAGATGCGTAGGATTTCTAAATCACTTTTTCACTGAGGTGATTGAAAGTATCCTTCGGATGTAAGATTGACTCGCTTTGTTTTTGAGTTCAGACTGGCCTTGAACACTTTGTAGCCCAGCCTGTGCTCAAATGCACAGTGATCCTCCTGCCTCAGCCTCCCAAGTGCTGGGATTGATTATAGGCATTGCCACCACACCCAGCTCAGTGTGTTTGGCTTTTTTGAGACAGGGTCTCAAACTGTACCTCAGGCTGGCCTGGAACTTGTGATTCTCCTGCCTCAGCCTCCCTAGTGCTGGGATTACAGGTGTGCCCCACCACACCTGGCTGTCTGTTCATATATTAATGAGTTTAAACTGTTAGTTTTTCTGCACTTAACTTTAAAATAGCTATTCAAGTGTGATGGGGCACACCTGTAATCCCAACACTCTGGTAGGCTGAGGCAGGAGGATCACAAATTCCAGCCTAGCCCTGGCAGTTTAGTGACTCAGCAAGACCCTGTCCCACAATTAGAAAACAACAGGATGGGTTCAATCCCCAGTATCATAAATAAAGTAAATGAACAGCTGCTGCTTTCTGAACCTTGAGTGAAATTGTAACTGTTCTCTAAATCATGGAAGAAGGCCTACTATCATATGTGAGGATGGGAAACTTATTTAAAACATGTTTATTGCAAAAATGTCTGGTTAAGTACCTACAGAGCATTTGTTTTATTGGCTGCCGGTTCTCTGTGAATACAGGGTTACAGGACTACGAAGCTGCACTTAGGATTGATCCAGCCAACACCACTGTACAAAGTGATGCTGAGAAGATTCGGAATGTAATTCAAGGGACAGGACTAAAGTCACAATGACTACTGGGAACAACTAGTTTAGTACCAGGTATTCAAGTTTTTCAAAAACAGGATCTGGGCATGGTGGCCCATCCTTGTGATCCTACCACTTGGGAGGCTGAAGCAGGAGGATCTAGAGTTCCAGGCTGGTCTGGGCTATATAATGAGATTCTGTCTCAACAAAATGGGACAGGAGACGATGGGAATCTTTGTACATGTTATAGCTGATTGTGCAGAGTCCACGTGCTGTTTAATACTTTAGTTCTATGAGGGCTAAGCATGACACATCTGTAGAAAATGAAAGCTTTGCATGACATCATTTCCAAACAAGAATGGCCACATAATTATATGCATTTGTAAGATATTGTTTGTTGCTGTTATTGAATTACAATGGCTTTTGGAACAAAACTGTTGGTGTGTTTCTGATGTGGAATTTTCCAGGCAGTGAGCGCTTGTGCTCCTGGAGGGTTTTGTCTGTCAGGCGACCATGTGGCTTCGGTGATAAATATCCATGGCTCCTGCACGCATTCGGAGCTGTGGTTTCTTTACTACCTCACTCCCACCCTAGACCAGGGGAGCCTCCAAAAACAGCTACAGCACTGAGAAAACCTTACCCTCGACCTTGTTGTAAAAACGAAACAAAAACTTTGGCTGTTTTTTAAAAAAACAAAACTTAACTCATTTAGGGGATAGATCTTTCGAGGCAGGCCCTGGAACCACTAAGCCAAATCCTTGGCCTGTCAGGGCATAGATCCTGATGGGCGGTTTACAGCCCGAGTGAGTCTTCGGGAGCTGAGTGCGAGGGTGAAGGGTGGCTTCTATCGGAAGGGCCAAAGGAAGCAGAAAGAGGCAGGGCGACTGCTGTGAGTTCGAGGCCAGCCTGGGCTACTTGGTGAGACCCTCTCAAAAAAAATGCAGATGGCCAGCTCTCAGGAGGGCCGAAAGTTCAAACCTGGCCAGGGCCATTTAGTAAGAGGCCACCTCTAAGCAGAATACATAAAAAGGGCTGAGGTGCAGCGCTGTGGTGCAGAGCCCGCCCAGCATGCCTGAGGCCCTGGGCTGGGTCCCAGCCCTGGAAGAAAGGCAAAGGCAGCACATTTAGGTAGAGCCTCCCTGGGAGGCTGAGACAGAAGGGTCATAAGTTTGAGCCCAGCACGGGGAACTAGCAGACTCCAGGAGACCCTGTACTGCAAAACCCAGGCAGTCTGAGAGGCCGAGGCAGGAGGACTGTGAGTTCCAGGCCAGCCTGGCATACACAGTGAGTCCCTATCTAAAAAAAAAAAAAAAGAAGTCACTGTCACTCAGTTATCATATCAAAATTTCTTTATTTCTTAAAGGTGTATTTTCATTTATTCAAATCTTTGTGTTTTAAATCTAGGTATTCTAGCCTTAGACTTGCAACTCATTTTCCTGGGTACATCATCTCCTAAATTGTCAAAGGAATATATTTTCATAGAGTGTGTTGAAAGTTGGGGAAATCAAGGGTTCTGGTTCTGTCGGGCGCGGTATTGAGACTGTTGTTCTGGTAAAGTCCCGTTGCTCTGATATGGCTTGAAAACCCCTGCTCCCTTGGTGTATAATTGCAGGGCAGGAACTGCGGCGTTGGGGCGGTGTCCCCATGGCAGCTGCTGCTGGTCCTGTACATGATCATCTGGGGCTGCGAGGCGGAGGTGGCCGTGCACAGTGTCTTCGGGTCCAGCATGCAGGAGAACACAGGGTTGCCGGGGTTCACGCATGGAGGCCGCAGTGCAGGATTCATTTCTGCTTCCGAATCTGTGCCTGAAGTCCTCTTGTCCTAGGAGGCAAACACGGGAAGCCTTGCAATTACAAAACAATGAAACTTTCCTTTCCGCCTCACTCCATTTGGGGGCTTTTGTTGGAAAGCACTGAAGAATATACCTGTAAATGACACTCATCTGTACAGAGCAAACTTGTCAAATGTGTACATAAAGCAGTTTTTAAAAAATCTTATACCAGGGCCGGGGATTTAGCTCAGTGGTTCCGCTGCCTGCCTCACAAGCACCAGGACCCAAGTTCAATCCCCGGTACCAAAAAAAAAAAATCTTACACTGAACTGGCCATGGTGGTGCAGCCTGTAATCCCAGCACTCTGGGAGGCTGAGGCAGGAGGACTGCAAGTTCGAGTCCAGTCTAGGGTAGTTTAGCGATGTACCAAGACTCTGTCTCAAAAAGGGCTGGAGTGCACCTCAGTGTGAAGGCCCTAGGTTCAGTTCCCAGTGCCATGAAATAAAAGTCAAAGCAAACCAATGACTTTTACCCATACCATGAAAGTTTATTAAAAATTCGTAAATCATTGAGAAAATCTGTAATAAATCATAGTTGGAAGTGGAAGTTGGATTCGGTTTTTATAGTGGACAGGCATTAAGCGAATAATCATACAGCTAATGGAATGAGTTTGTGGTAAGTGCTGTGGACGGGGCTCTGACCTACCCCGAAGGGGAGGACCCCAGGGAGAGTCTGGCAAAGCCGCATTAAATCTGGAGCAAGGGAGGAGACAGGTGGGAATCCCAGCCAGTAGGGCAAGAGCGGGGCAGGGCCGCCCTCCTGTCTTAGTTGTGCTGAACTTGAGGTCCTAGCAAGAGCAGGAGCACTGGTCCAGGCTACACAAGTCCCTGGATTCAATTCCCAGCCCGGCCCAAGTTCTTCTTAAAGGCCAATAGCAAAATCCCAAACAGAAAAACCAACACAACAGCACCCATCACCCACTAATAAATGGGGAAGACTTTAAGGCAGACTCGAGCCCAGCAGTGGGCCTGACCTCACCATCCCTCCACCGACTCTGCAAACAGCCACTGCCCTTGCCGTGCCGCTGAGGTGAGATGAGGTGAGCTAGTTAACTTCCCTAGGCCTCGGGTGAACAGCTGCGCCACAAGGCCCTTTAAGCACTGGCAAGGACTCAGGTAGGGGACTGGCCATTCCTGAGAAGCTGGGCAGGCACGATCACCCCTGTGATCCCAGGTGCTCCAAGGCCCTGGGTTTGATCCCAGGCGCCCCCCCCCACACACAGACGTCCATGACTTTGAATTCTGAATCTTTAGTTTTGAATTCTACCCAAAAGAAATTCTATGAGGACTGGGGATGTACCTCAGTGGCACCGTGCCTGCCTTGAAAGTGCAAGGTCCTGAGTTCGATCGCCAGTACCGCAAAACAAACCAAAAAAATCTTCAAACAAAAGAAATTCTGTCATAGCTGGGCCTGGTGGTACAGGCCTGTAATTCTAGCTACTTGAGAGGCTGAGGCAGGAAGACCATAAATTTGAGGCCATCCTGGGCAATTAGCAAGACCCTATTTTAAGAGTTTTGTTTTGTTTTTTGAGACAGGGTCTCTGTAGGTTAGGCTGGCCTTGAACTCAGGATGATCCTCCTGCCTCAGCCTCCGGAGTGCTGGGCTTGCAGGTACACTACTACCCCTGGTTTATACCACTTTTCTTTTTTTTAAAGACTCATACCAGGCACATGCCTATAATCCCAGCACTTGTGAAGCTGAGGCAGGAGCATCACCATGAGCTCCAGGCCAGCCTGAACTACACAGCAAGGGCCTGTCTCAAAAAAAAGAAGGGCCAGGGATTTAGCTCAGTGGTTTCACCCCCTGCTTTGGAAGTGCAAGGTCCCGAGTTCTATCCCCGGCACCAAAAAAAAAAAAAGATTTACACCAATCCAGGTTCCTTAGCCCTTCATCTCCTGCACCAAGTGCTGGGTGATGGCTGCACCACCAGGTCTGCGGTTTTGCCTCACTTTAATGCTGTTCACGAGGGAAGTTCACTTTCAGGAGTGCACCAGAGGCGGCTCCTCAGCGAGCTGCCCTCTTCGAGGTGACCTCCCCTCCCTCTGCACTTTGGTGGGCATTCTGCATTCCGAGGGAAGGAGGAACTGAGGTGATGCCAGCAGCTGAGTAATCTCCCTTTAGATTTACAGAAGCCAGACTCCGGTGACCTTCACATTACATCAGAAAATGCGAAGCCCCACTTTGTTCTTTATTGTAGGTGCCAAGTAACACTAAGTCTGTAAATTACTGTGGCCTTTTCCCCTTGCAGCCTTGGGGACTGAACCAGGGCCTTCACACTGAGCTACATCCTCAGCCCTTTTAAAATTCTGAGAGTCTTGCTAAATTGCCCGGGCTGGGCTTGAACCTGTGCCCCCCGCTTATTGTAGATAGCTAAGTTAGTTATCTTGTAAGTAGTTAGACAGTGCTGGCCTTCAAGGAACCAACCCAGGACCAGCAAGACTGAAGGCCAGCATTGTAAAAGGAGAGAAATTAGCACACCCCGTGCTTCCCCTAAGGATGAATAGCAGTGATTGATCTAAATAGGAATCAATCACCGGGGTGAGGGCCAAGATCTTCCCAGAAAGATCCCTGCCCCCCCCCCCAAAGCCCTTGCTCACGTGCTGTAAACTTGCTACGAGACTTGTTCGCCATTGGATCCCCATTTCATCAGTGTTACCTAGGCAACTGTGCTTGTTGTAATCTCATTGGCTGACTGCAGTTTTGTCCCACCTTGAACCCACTTCATCTCATGGCTTTGTCCCAGGAAACACGTTTGGGAAGTGGGGTGGGGGCAGCCCACTTTCCAGCCGCCTCTGTCTCTCTTGGACAGCAGCTGTCTTTCAATAAATTCTCCTCTCTTAACCGCCGTTGTTCCTGGAATTCCTGCTTGGATTTTAGAGAACACGAACTGGTCTCAGATTCCCAGCAGGTTTGGGAGCTGCATCTCTCCCCTGTATCACTCTTGCCACAGCCTCTGAGTGCTGTGTGATTAGAGGCATGAGTGACCACACCTGGTTTAAATACTCTTGAAAGTTTTTTTGCTCATGATGGCCTTTGAAGATTCTATCAAAAAAAATTCTACCTAAGAACGCTTTTCTCTTTTTCCTCCCTTTAAATTTTTTTGTTGCAGTACTAGGAACTGAACCAGCGCTTTAACAGTGAGCTACACCCCAGCCCTTTGTAGGGTTGCTAAGCCACTAAGTTCCCCGGGCTGTGCTCAAACTTGAGATCCTCCTGCCTCAGCCTCCCAATGCTGGGGTCACAGGTGTGTGCTGCAGTGTCCAGCTGTGACAAAGCCATCTTTAAGGCCACTTCTCTTTCCACTTAGCTAATTAACTGGACACAGAGGGCTGGGCCTTTGTGGTGCCTCAGCCCCCAGAGGACACCGATGCCTGGCATGCCTGGCCTAGCCGGATTTTGGATCCCAGCGTCCCCCAGAGGCTCTTGCTTCCCCTGGGGCCACTCTTCCTCCAGAGTGGAGGCTGCAGGACACTGCTGGGGTGTGGACTTGGGATGGGGGGTGAGAGTCTGCCACCCCAGCACTGGGAGGCCCCGCCTCACTTGAGCTTCCCACTCCGGACAAGAGACAGAGGCAGCTGAGCTAATACAGAAGAAATAAGGATGGTGGGCAGGAGACAAGGAAATTGTAACCTGAAAAATGGTATTTTGGGGGGTTGTTTTGAGACAGGGTCTGGCTATGTAGTCCAGGCCAGCCTTGAACTCAAGGCAGTCTTACTGCCTCAGCCTCCCGAGTGCTGGGACCACAGGCGTGTGCCACCAGCCCAGCTCGTTTTGTTAAAGTACAGCAGGCTTGGTGGCTGATGCGGTGATCCCTGCACTCAGGAGAGGCAAGAGGGTCACTGCAAGCCTAGGCTACATCCTGGGAACCACACATCAACCTGTTCATACTTGTGATTCCAGTCTAATTTGACCTGAAGCCTGAAACACACACAAGTTCTTTGTGCATTAAAAAGGCAGTGTGATGTAATGGGGGGAGCGTGGCTCAATTGTAGAGCACTTGCCTGGCATCACGAGGCCTGGGTTAAGCCTCCTGCACCACCAAATAAACAGATCACTTTCAGAGTGCACACCTGTGATCCTAGCACTGGGGAGGCTGAGGCAGGAGGATCACCAAGAGTTCAGGCCAGCCTGAACTACATAGCAAGACCCTATCTCAAAAAGCAAAAACAAAAATTATAAAAACTGAGACTGGGACTCCAGGACAGTTACTCGAGTTGTTCATACAGTGTTCTCTAGGTTTGTTTAGCTGCTTTTCTTCTAGGCCTATCACACCCCAAATCCCATAAAGATACTTTAAATTTATAAATTAGCTTACTTGATAAAGGCTAAAGGGACTGACTGAGAGCTCAAAGAATACTTCCAGGCAAAGCATCTTAGATCACTCATCTAAAAAAATAATTGGCAGGGCTTCGCCTTTGGCCTGAAAATGAGATTGACAAATCTGCAGATTTCCACACCCAAACATCAATATTCCCAGCTCTAAACTGCAGCAAGTTTCTCTCCTGAGGGCCTGCATTTCCTTTCAGGGACTACTTTTAAATTTCTGCCTAATAAACCCCTCTATGCCTCTTAGTGATGCATCCTGAAAACTGTGACAGGAAGGAACCTGCAGCTTATTCCACAGGTGGGGAACCTAGGGTCCCGGAAAGATGGTGGTTAGAAGGAGCTAAGGAGGCCTTGGGGAGCCCAGTGTGGGTTTGGAGAGCGACAGCCATGTGGATCAGGGAATGCCCTGTACTGTTTGTGTCCACCTCTGGCTGGAAACGTCAGGAAACGTCAGGCACAGTCAAGGGCTGCTGGTGTGGCTTTTGAGTGTGGCACTGGGGATGGGAACCTAGGCCCTCTACCATTGAGCTTGGTCCCTAGCCATGTTTAATTCTGAGAAAGGCTCTGGCTAAGTAGCTGAACTGCCCGGCTGGACTGGAAATTTCTATCTTTCTGCCTTAGTTTGAGTGCTGGGATTTCTGGCTTTTGCCTCCACAGACAACTTGTGTGACTTTAAACAGACCAATGTTTATAAGCATTCACATTCTATTCTTTTTCTTTCAAGACTCTACAGTAGACTTGTCATGAGACTGAAGTTTTTTAAAAATCCTAAAACTAGGCATCACATAATCTGGATTTCAACTCTAAAAACCAGATAAGAATGTTTACTTTTGGGCTGGCAATGTAGCTGTTGAGCCGTGTCTATCTTTTTTTTTTTTTTTTAGCCAGTCTATCTTTAAGATCATGCACTGTTGGATCTGGCTGACTAGAATATCACCAGGGAGTGTGGCAGATCAAGAGCCAGTTATCTTGGGCTCCATCTGTTTCCTTATTGTTTTGGTGTTTTGAGAAGGTTCAGGCTGGCCTTGAATTCACTGCATCCTCCAGCCTCAGCCTCCAGGCTTATCTTGGGCTATCTCTACTTCTTCAACAGCCATTCACCAAGAACCAGTATCTGACCTAAACACCCTGTGACTTCGGGTATCCGAAGTCGGGAATGCATGCCAAGTTTGACACGCCTCTCACCAACCCTGAAGCTGTGAATGCTGAGTTAACATCTG